TAGAGGCATTGAAGTTGGGCCCCCGATGAAGCTGTCCTACTGGCTGGAGGTCCTTTGTACTGCTCTTCAGGTGCTCTCCTGCTGACCTGTGTTCCTTCTCCAGACTCTGGGCATCTATTGCTAGATACATACATATCTGTTTATCTCAGGAGAGTTTTTGGAGCTGGGGGGCTTGGAAAAAGGTCACAACTTCTTATCTGAAGCCATCAGTAAAGATTGGCTGTGAGCCATTTTTTGCTTTCTACTCCTAATTAGAATTTCTAGCACCTTTTAGCTCTGAAACAAGCAAACAAACAACCCCACCAAACTGTCTGGGGCATTTCTAATTTCCATTATCAGAATTTCTTTTTTGCAGTAAATGTTGCGATTGATTTATTCTTCAAATAAGCAGTAGAACTGAAGGATATGCATTTAATACCATTTACTTTCTTCAAACGTTTTACAAATACAGGAACAGACAAAAAATACCTTTAAGATTAGACATAAGTAGGTTATTAAAGTGGGGTTAGAATGGCATATTTAATAAGAGAAACATTTTTCATAGAAAAAAAGAACTCTCTAAGACAGTTAAAATCTCCAAATTGAAATATTAAGATTTCCCTCCTGATTTAAAAAGAACAGTGTGTTTTTTCTAAACAATTTTAGGAAGTAAAAAGGTGAATTCTTAAAATATCAGACATGGAAGTATTACATTTTACTAGAGTTTGATATATTACAAATTTTTGCTTTTCTTTAGGATTGGAAGAAAATTAAATGAAATGTGGGGTAGTTATCTGTAAAAATGAAGTAATAAAGTATATATACCCAAATAACTTTCTGAGACTATGCAAACTAAAAAATGATTGCTGCTGCTGTGACTAGATTTATTGATTAGGTTTCTCTGCAAAGTGAAGATTATACTAAGAATGTAAAATACACTTATGACTTTTTTCATATGAAGATAACTAAAGCAAAATTGATAGCTGTAATTTCATTGTCTATTGTTCTTTCAGTTAACTTTTTTCAAATACATGTTTATTTAGTATTGAATTTAAAATCATTACCAATTATGATTTAGTTTCAGTTTTATTTTCCTTGTGAAGGACTCTCTCTTTCTCTTGTTTATTATAAAACTGCCGTGCTATTGTCAGTATTTTCAATAAGAGTTGGATGATTTTTATCACATATTTTCAAAGAACTATAGCAAAAGAAAATGATATAGCAATTTTTAACATTAGAGCTTCGGTATTAATTTTTGGTGCTGTTGAATTTACAAATACAAAAAAAAATAGGTTCTTCTGTTAGACATAAAGAATTATCTATTTTCATTATTGGCTTCTTATAATATGGAAGATGTAAATGGATAAAATAATTATGTTGTATGTATTTGTGGTTTGTCCTTGTTTATTGATCGCTCTCCTTATTTGTGTTTTTTCTTCTTATTTGTGTTTCTAGCCCTTTTAACCCCAGAGCTTGTTCTATTTAATATTCACATACACATTTTATAAACACCTTATGCTTAAAATTTCAGATTGAAGCTCATTTAGATACACTTATAAATGAACAAGCTTCCTACGTGTTAACAAGAGCTGGTCTAAGTTACATCTATAACTCTGTGCAGCAACACAAACCGGAACAGGTAAGCTTATATCATGTAGATGTTGAGGAGCTACTGCATACTTGACAACTAGAAGGATTTTGGCACTAATATTTTTGCAAATTAAGCTTCGTGTGAAAGCAAAAGCTCAGTAGTATCTGTTGATTTGTCACACGGGACCAGGACTATTAGACAAAGGCACCTTGCAACTACAGATTTCCCCTACGCTTGTATGTTCAGCAAGCCTAGCAGGTTTGGTATGCAGCAGTCCTTCTGTGCAGCTTATCTGTGTGCCATCAACAGGCTCCGTACACCACAGACATCCTGTACGTTCTCAGAATAACTGCATAGGTAGTTTAATATGCCTCAGAAAGTGTCAGCGTCAAGCTGGCTTTAAAACACAAATACTGAGTATGTATACCACTTCCATGACATCTAGAACGTACTGGATGCACCCTACTGTGCATCTAGCCTTCAGGTTTCTTCCATTGCATGCTATAGCACCATACATGGAGCGGGTGATAGAGACCCTGCATGCATTAGATAATTACTGCTTTTTTCTTCTGCGAAAAATTGGCAGATGAGTTTAGTAGTAATTTGAAATAATTTCTTCTTTTGTCCTTATTCATTGCTCTAGTTATTCTAGCACAAAGACAGTGAGATTCTACAAGTGAAAACTTGAGATTTCTTAGAGTGAGCTGAAAACTGGAATGAAGAGCTCATGCTCTTCCTTTCTCGTGAACCACAGTTGTTATGTGATAGGTGTTAATACAGCCCCTCTTCCCTTCAGCTGTGCCTATGTCCTTTTGTGAGCTTTTGTGAAGGTGAAGAACAGTGTTTTCTGGAGAAAGCAGACCTCTGTTGGAGAGCTTTATGTTGTTTCTTCAGCCAATAATTTTGCATAAAGTGCCCAAACTCAACAGATTTTTATGTATAAAGATGAATAAATAAATGTGTAAATAATCTGCTTAATAACTCAGCTTGGTTTCCTATTCATGAGCCTATCTCCTGTTCTAAAACCAATTTCAAATCGACCAGGGCAGATTGTTAATGGAATGGAGCAATTTTCATTTGTATCTGTCCAGCTGCCTGGCTGCAGAGGTGACGTTGTCACTGGATTTGCTAGGGGGTTAGGCAGCATGTATACGTTGTAATGCCATACCAGCCCAGAAGATTTGCTGGGAAGCAGGCTTGAACTGTGCCCGGTCCTGGAACAGATGAATAGAAGGAAGTTGTCCTCTGTAATTCTGGAACTCCAAGGGGATGTGGCCAGTTTGCAGTTCAGTTTTTATCCTAGGCCTTGTGGAAGGCTTTTTGGGGGGTTTATCGTTTAATGGTGAAGAAGGAAGAAAAGGACTTGAAAGGACATATTAAGAACTCAGTATTCTGAGTTTTTAATTTAAGAGAGCAGTAGAATACAAATGAACTATTACAGCATTTCAGTATCGATACGGTGATTCAGTTTCCAAACATTTAAGGTCCTGTAGAAGGACCAAGTAACAATTTAATACTGAACTGATTGTAGAATTTATTATTTCTTATCTTTTTCAATATGCTAGTATGACCTTTTTTTTTCCCCCCTCTGACTACTGATTCTTAGGGTCCTCTTTCAAATTTGCCAAGTATGGATTCCGTGTCCCTGAAGGTTGCAATGGTAAGCATTTTACAGTTTCATATTATGGTGGTGATGCTGTGACATGGGAAAAAATACTATTCATTGTGTGATGTAGTAGATATTCATCTGACCAGTCATACTCTTTAAGCTAAATTACATGTCTGGGAATACTTTCTTCATTTGTAGTAATTTGACCACTTGAAGTAATAAATACATAAATTATTTATGAACGGGTAGTAATAGAATATTAGTTTCTAAGCCTTGAGAAACAGAACTTTACTTACAAGAATGCTATCCCATGAGTCATCTTAAATTGCTAAAAGCAAATACTTAGCTCTAATTAGTTTTAATCACCAAAATTTCTTTTTTGCCTGTATGCTTTCAAATATTAGTTCTGCTATCATTTATAATTTTAGTCCTAAGGCTTTGATTTTATGCAAATAGTTCAGCTAAACTCAGAAGTTAGGTGCTGGGCATATGTCAGTTATATTTTTTTCAAGTTGAAAGCTACAATATATTTTAAAACAAATTATCAGCTATTTTTTCTTAGAGTGTGTGAAGGCTATTTTGCATAGAGATAGCAATATCACAGTTTAGTAGGCAATAATATATGATCTGTCACTCTTCTTGCTTAGCCAAGTTTAGCTTTATTCTGAAAGTTTAACTGTAAATAAGGCCTGCTCATCCAGCAGTACTTGTATACCCACACAAAAAAAAGGTCTCTTTAAAATAAAATTATAAAAAAAAAAAAATTGTATGTTGAATCCATCCTAATTATGTCAGTGTAGCCTGTTTTCCTCTGTTCAAGTCTTAAACCAGTGATTCCCAAGCTGGTCGGATAAACAGAGCTCTGGCACAGAGCACTCAGTGGTGTACTTAGATCAGCATGCATTCTTATCAATATTTACAAATTTTGCATTTAAAATATCCTCTATTTTTCATGGTCTTGTAGACCAATGAGGAATTTAAAGACTGCAGCTTGGGGACCATCTCTTTAAATTATATATATATAACTCTGTTATCTATAGCAGTACATAATAATTTCACTTGAATAGTTAGAGAAGAATCCAACTGTTTTATTTTCTTCATTACCTTGTTTAATGTCTGCTTGTGTGAACACACTTTAACCAGAATGGAACCCAGTATGCTGAAATCAAACCCACATAAATCCCATCTATCAACCTAATCTGTTGGCTTCCCAGGATGTAAACCATGTGGAGGGAGTACTTGCAGGTAGATTCACTGCCTCCCAACTTAACCTGAAAGTTTTCTAGGTGCCAGCCTTTTAAGTTGTTCATATGGGTTTACAAATGCTGTTCTAGTAAAGTCCTTACCTCTCTCTCAGATAAAGCTCCCTTGCTTTCCGAACGAGGGCAGATAACCCCCAAAAAGTTAATTTGTGAGAACTGTGAGTGACTTCATTTGTCATTTGTGCCCACTTTTTGCACGTTTAAATGATGGATGGATGTGGATTTTAGGGTTTACCAGCTTGAGAAGATTGACACAGTGTTGAGGAAGGTTGGCATCATTAGATAAAGTTGCCTAGGGCCTTGCCTGAGTGAGTAATTCCAAGGACGGAGATTATACAGCTTTTCTGGGTAACCTGTTCAGTGTTTGATGACACTTTTCTGGGTAACCTGTTCAGTGTTTGATGACACTCCTGGTGAGAATTTTTCCTCTTACTATCTAATCAGAATTTTCCTTAGTGTAATATGTGTCCAATATTCCTCATGTTTTCACCTGCAAGAAGACCTGGCTCCATCTTCTCTATGGTCACCCATTTGGTCATAGAATGGTTTGGGTTGGAAGGGGCCTTTAAAGATCATCTAGTCCAACCCCCATGCCATGGGCAGGGACATCTTTTGCTCGATCAGGTGGCTCAAAGCCCCATCTGACCTGACCTTGAACACTTCCAGGGATGGGGCATCCACAACTTCTCTGATAGATAGTTGAAGACAGCAGTAACATTCTTTCTTGGTGTTTTCCTCTCCAAACTACTAGAATCAAAGCACCACAGTTTTTTTCACTGTATTATATGGGGGAGGAGAAGTAGGCCTCGAAGCAGTTCAAGGAGCCTGAACTAGGTCCCTTGCTTTTGTTTTTCCCAATATAAGTGCTCATTAGATTATTAAGCAGTGACTCCCTGCCAAAAAGTAAAAAAAAAAACCCAAAAAACATAAAAAGAAACATGCAAGATGTCTGACTTGGACAGACTAGATTTCTGCCTGGAGGCTACTGTATTCCCTCTGCAGTGAATAGACTAGGTCTGATCTTCAGAGGCGCATGCATACGTGCTCCAGCTGCATAGGAAACTTAGATGGATATTTATGGAAGCTGGATTCTCATTATTTGCTCCTCCACCGCTACTCTTCAGAGTCAGAAACTTAAAATTTTGGTGACACAAGTGCTGAAGTTAGACATTTGGTTTGGACTGTTAAGTTCTACCTTAGACACTTGTATAATATGTTAGTCTCTATCTTAAATATATAAAAAGAGAAAATTTTATCAAATAAGAAGATGCCATTTTAGATCAGAGATCTGTGTTTTTACCTATTTTCATATAATAGCAAGTTCTTAATAGCAAGTTCTTAATATGTTGATCTTGTATTCTCTTCCCCCCACCCCACCCCTAGGCTCAGTTTGATCGCTATCTGTCTGCTCCAGATAGTCTGCTAATGTCCCAGCTGAATTTCCTTCTGAGTGCCACTGTGAAGTAAGTACTTTACCTATTATGCCTGCATAATGATCAGAAAGATGAATTTGATTAGGTTTTAGGGGATCACGATGAGAATTCAAGTTATCAGCTGTGATCATATTTGCATTGTCCTTCAGGTCACAATTCAGTTTTGTTCCGACTCTCCTCTTTTTGAACAAGCAGTGAGGAATATGTAATTCTGTAACTTTCTGAAGTAGTTACTCTTGATTTAACGGACACCATCAAAATTAATTACATTCATCTATTTTGAACATGTTCCACTGTGTCGGCAGTTTTTTGTCAACTTAGTTGTAAATTGTTTTAGAACTATTTTGTAAGCATTCCAAACACAGATGAAATATGTAATTCTCCACTCAAGATTTCTTTTGTCCCCACTGCTCCATCAGGTCTAGAATTTTCAACTTTGCTGTCTTCTGCTGTAGAGTATTGGCATTCTGTCTCATTGAGTATCGTGCTGAGATTACTTTACTTTTCACCTAATATGATTCTTTATAGTGATTTCTTCTTTGAAGTGTGGAAGTGAGCACTTTATCTCTTCTCTTGTTTTTTGAATATAACTGAACCCTAAGGCTAGGGAAAGTGCCACGAATTTCTTTCCAATTAAATGTGAACCATATGAAGACATTTTGTAGTACTTAAACTCAGAGACTTATATGATTATAAGATCAAAAACTTTTCTTGACGTTATTTTTCACACTTTTGTGAAGAATGCAGGTTACAGAATATGCCAGAAATTGAGACTAGCACATCACATTTTATGTAATGCAACGGTATTTGGAGTCTCATTACTAGTACCTCTCCTCAGCAGGATTGTATTACAGCATCTTGCAATTAAAAATGACATATGTCAGGGGAAAAATATTTATTGTTGGGAATTTATTAGAATAGAATGGAATATTCTATTCCATTTGGGGGATGGAAGGGACCTACAACGATCAGCTAGTGCAACTGCCAGGTTCTTCTGCTGTATTGCTCAGGTTCTCCTCATCCAAAGACTTCCAGTTTCATGCCATATACCTGGTGCATGGCTTGGCATGGGGGATGTTGGTGCTTTTCAGTACTTCGCTGGGTGTCTCTGCTAGGGTTACCATTCCCGCAGCTCAGCCAGCAGAGCTGACCCTGTTGTGCGAGAGCTGTTCTGCTCCAATGCAGATCAAACAGGGTAGCCTGAGCAGAAATGTCAGTGAAACATTGCACCTTCTGCTTCTAGGTGTCAAGCTATTAAACCTGTATTTTAGCTCTTGGTATTTTTTTTAATGTAGATCTATTTAAAAATCATAATAACAGTAAACGTATTTTGAAAGCCTCAATTTTTCACTGCTAACACAGAAGCAATTTTTCAGAGGTAGACTTAATGCTACCGTAAAGACTCTGGCACAGTGAAATTACTTTGACTTAATCATTTCTTCTGTCAGATGAACCAAGATAAACTGGGTATGTGTGCACTCTTAGCCTTATCCCATTGATAAGCTTTTTAAACCTCTCTTAGGGCAATTTAAGCCAAATTCATGTTATCTTGCAGCAGTGGGCAGCTGAGAGGTGAGAGGGGAGCCTGTGTGAAGATGATTGCTATAGCTGCTTCAGCTCAGCTAACATGCAGGAGTTTATTTATTTGCTATAACTCAACGCTATAGGTCAGATTCTGCTCAGAATTAAAGAAAAAAAAATCTGTTAGCCTTCAAACGTAGCTTTAAACACAAGCAATCCTTTTGAAGTTAAGATACCTATTTACAGAGATGCATGCTTATAGAATCACGGTCTTAATAGTCAATACTTTCTGTAGTAAAGAAAGCTTCAAAATTGAAAAGTTTCTCAAAATTCAAGCAAAACATTTAACCAGTACTATAATTCTAATCTCTGGCTATAGTAGTTGAAATTTTCAAGTTAGTTTTGCAGACGTTTGGTGTCAGTTTTGAAGATGTCTTCCTTGAAATCACATGACTGTGATCCACTGTTCCAACAGTTGAGCTGGAACCCAAGAATTCTTTGGTTCTCAAAATCAGACCACATGCTTTTGATAAGGGACCAGTGTATTATATACTCACTGGCAATATTATTTAAGCTTTGCAACTATGAAGAATATTCCTTCCAACATTTGCCAGTGCATGCTCTTGTCTTTCAAATTCCTTTGCTCATTTAAAAAGTTTTAAGCTATTTATTTATGTTGTTGTTGGTCTTGAAAAGCTCTTTTCATTTGTGTTGGATCACAGAAACTGAATGCTGGAATTACTATTTTTGGAAAGTGCTGCCATTTGTGTTAGTGATAAAATGTATCATGTTGTTATGGCAACTGAAATCCTAATGTACTGATTAATGACACTGACATTATTTGATGGAAAGACTCATTTGATGCTGTTCAGTCCTCTGGAATATTTCAATGAACTTTTTCTTTTAATTTAATATTATTTGGTGCAATACAGTTAGTTTCATACGAATTCTGTGTGCAATACTTTCTTAAAAGATTGTCATGTTACAGTAGCTTAGTGATCCCAGACTGTGATCAGAGACAGTTGTTGTACCTGAACACCTTGAATATATTTCCCTTATAATAGTGTTTCTAGATTTGCTGTTATAAGGCCAGTCTTTTTTTTTCAGGTATTCTAATAACCTAGTAATACTGGCAGTTGATCCTGTATATTGAAAAACTGGATACTGTGCATCAGAATAAAATGCAGGTTTTGCCTCTTAATCTTCTTTCTCATAGCTTCTGTTTCTTAATATTTCCTGAAAAGATGAAGTTCTACAGACTTGGTCTTTGAGATTTCTTTAACTTGTCAATTCCCAACGGCTAGTGAATTCAGCCCTGATTTTAGTGGATGCAGTTTCAGTGTCTTTGTTCTTTTGCTGCCTATTACAGCAGGGCCGAATCTAGATTCATGGTTACCTTGGTTTCCTCAGCTTCTCCTGGTGTTCCACTTGCATGGGTTTGGCTGTGAAATAGTTGTAACTACTGTTTCTGATAGATAAAAATGCAACTGCAACTGTAAACACATCACCATGGTGATTAAAGTAAACAGCTTCATGAGCAATGTAAAGTAAAAATACTAGTTTTTCTTCAAAAAATATTGAACTTTCCAGTTAAATTTAGCATCCAGTCCCTGTGCATTGTTACTCATTTAGATCCAGAAAAATAACAGGACACAGACTTCATAGCAGTGTTGGTAAAAGGCTGTAGCAAGCTTTAAATCTCTGACCACTATCACTTTCAGCTCTTCCTTTTTGACCAATTATAGAATCAGGTGCTGTCAAGGTAAAACACATAGAATATATTTGCTGGTAGATGAAAAAAAAAATGTGTGTATTTGCAAAGGACAGCGAGAAGCCAGAGGAGGTAGAAGGTAGATCACTAAGATTATCAGTCTTTTAAAAGATGCAGGGGAGCGCAGGTGAAAAACTAATGTATGCAAATTAAATCCTTCTACTATTTTTTTTTTTCATGATTGCAGAAATAAAGAAGCTAATTTCTTGGTTATCAGGATCATATATGTGAGTTTATCTATGTACGATACAAAAAGATGAAGAAGCCTTCTTTTGTTTTAAAACTTTAAGCTGTTTTCACCGTTGAAGGGCTTTTTAATGTAACTGACCCTGATTTTTAATGTGTATTTTTAGTGTATATCTTTAATTCCTTGTACGTAGTACAGTTATATTTCCTACGATTTGTGAATTATGTTTTTGTTTTGTTTTTTAGAGAGCAGATAATAAAACAGTCCACAGAACTGGTCTGCAGAGCTTACAGTGAGTTGTATGCAGCTGTGATGGATCCTTCAAATGAATATAAGGATCCAGAAACCATACTACACAGATCTCCTCATCAAGTTCAGGCACTCCTTTCATAGTCTTGCTTCCCCCAGATTTATCAGAATCCATAATTCTGTATTTGTTGAGTATTTGCATCGAGTTATTTTTCTGTTTTCAATTTTGATGTGTAACTGTGTAGTTAAAATATGTAGGAATGCTTTTTTTTTAATCTGCTTGGCAGAAGTCTAGTCTTTCCTGTGTCTTTGAATACCTTCTATAGGCCAGAAAATAGAATATAGATTAAAAATTATTTTAATGTATTCCTCTAATGGAAATGGACCTTGACAACATGCAATCTCTTTGAAAAAGGAGAAAAGCTTTTTCCTTGCTGTACATAATCCTTTCAACTAGAGGTTGAACCAGTGTCTCTTAACGACCTCACCAATATTTTTATTTGCTCTTTTCCCTGTTCTTTCACTGTTTTTCTCAGCCTATCATCAGTAAATGCTGATAACTGTAATTTTAATACAACTGATATACTTTGAATGCCTCAAGTGCTTCACTTTTACAGCTCATAAATCACTTCAGAGTATTTGATGCGGTTTTTCGAATCCTGTTGATTAAATTTTTGAGGCAAAATTTGTGTGCTTTTCTGGAATCCATTATCGTTGCTAGTTCTGGTGTTTTCTGTAAGAAAAAGAAGTACTTGAATTACGTGCATGTACATAAGCTGGAAATTAATGCTTTAAGTTATTTGTATAATTTTGTTTTACTGGAAGAATTTTGTTTTAGTGCAATCATTCTGTAGGAATCCTTGTATGAGTTGAAACTTGCTGATCTCTTAAGGCAATAACAGTGTAGGTTAGGAAAATGGTTTGCACAGCAGTATGGCCATTCCTCCTTCACATGTACATGGTTTTTGTTTTGCCCTTTTTTAAGTACAGAAAAAGTCTATCTGCTCTAGTACAAGCATTTATTCAGTTAATAATCCACCAAGAGATTTGCATGGTTTACATGTCTGCAGCGGTGCTCCTAAAAATTGTAGTTAAGTTCACCTGTGGCAGCCACAGGTAGTCCTGGGAATTATGTGGGAGAGCCAGGGTGTGTAGTTGTTCTAGGCTGATGCGCAGAAAGCCATGAGTAAAGGTTTCATTTCTTTCCTCCTTCAGTGCAAAGCTGAACCTACTCTGTGTAGAAACCTTAATTTTATATAGAGTTATGATTTAGGGGACCTTTGCTTCCAGTAAAAGAGGAAAATAGGTAAGTAGGACACTTGTTCTCTGTTGGGCCTTATGAGAATTTTCTGCAAATTCCTTAAACTTCTTTTAGGAAAGCCTTGTTATAGAGAAACCTTCAGGAAACAGAATGTTAGTAAAAGGAATTTGGGGTGTTCTGGTGTTAGGATTTTTGTTGGTTGGTTTGTTTGTTTTTTAAAGGATAATTTAAGCTAACTGTTTCGTTGGAAGCATTTCACTTTTTTTTTCCTCTTTGTTGTTGTATGGGTGCCACAGAGTTATTACAGTTGCCTGAGTTTACACTCATATTAGATGTGGCTTATTTATATACATGGAGGGGAAGATGAGCAATCATTCATATTGAATAACTTACATACTTTATTTTTATCAGTAATGATATTCCCCACATAAAATACATACTTAGTGGCAGCCAAGTCTGCAGTTTAGTGTATGTTGCAAAAGAGCAAGAAATAGAGAAGAGCAGCAGCAATACATTTTAGTCTCTTGGAAAACAAGATATATCCAGTGTGCTCAGAAATCCGCTTCCTTGGTAATACCACAATAAAGCAATAGCTCCTTTTCCAAATGGGCATAATTTGTTGGTATAATAGAAAAAGATTTGAAAGTGCAAGTGTCCCTGGAGTTCTTGTATCAGGCATAAATTCTTCTGTAAATGTGAATGTTAGATTTATTCTGTTTAAAAACTCCAGACCTGCAAGACAAAAAATTCTAGAAGCTTAGAAAAGCTCTAATGAAAATTATGCTCTTTTACTAGGTAAGGCACTTTAAATTACTCAGATTTTGCATTACCATAGTATACATTCAGAAGGCTGTTCATTGTTGTTTAATAATGTTAATATTGCTTAATATGCCTATAATTATTATCTAATATAGGAAAATTACATCAGTTGTGAAAGGATTGTAAATTAGCTTGTTATTAGATTAACATACTCATAAGAGTGAACTCTTTCCTGAAATTACACTCAACCTCAGTCTCCAATAATCAGTCAGTAGTTTGCATGAGGATTAGTAAGAAGTTGCTTCCGATCTTTGAGTCCATGTAGAGACTTATCCATGATTTTATCTTCTCTTAATAAAAATGCAAAAGCTATAAAAGTTGTAACTTACAAAAATTAAAGTCAATCACTAATTCTGCTCTGTGCAATTAAAGTAAATGGCAAAGGGTCACTAATGAGAAAGGACGTCAATAAAAGCATTTGATTTACTGACTTCTGTCTTCCATGTTGTTATTTCCTCTTGCTTGCCTTCCTAAGAGGAGGAAGGAAAAGGTGATTAGATTTTGACCTGCCTTTTCTAGCTTGGCGTTTCTGACCCTTTTATTTTACAAATTCCCAGGATTTCCACACCAGGAACCGTGAAGCTGCAGTCCTCTAATTGCTCGGTTAGATGGATGACCCATAAGCGTTGCAGTAAATGGAATCATTCTGGATGTCGGTACCGGCTCCATATTCAGACCAGTTACCGCAGGTCCGGCTTGAGCGTCACAGTGCATGAAGAGACGCTCGCCTGGCTGGGCTGAGTCAGTCAGCACTGCTGCTGTTGGTCCTTAAACACCTCATATGGAGGGGCATGCCTTCAAAGAGTGAGTCTGTTACTCTGTGCTGGGCAGCAATATGCTTGGGAAAACTGGGTAAAGAGAGGTATTTGAATAGTGCCTATAGCAGACAGCGCTCTCGGCATTTGACACTCTGACAACCCAGTTCTGAGAACAGATGCGTAAAAGGCTTCTTTTTGCATCGTTGCCTGATGCGAAGAGCACTTTCGTGGGAAGTGGGAGAGCTGGGTTCTGGGCCAAAAGAGTTTGGAATCGACATCTCCCGCCTTCCTGGAGAGCACCCAAACCCTTGGCTGTTGTGTAGTATGAGGTGGGGCAGCTCTGTTTCTTCTCTTTTGAATTTAGCAGCTGTGCATAAATCAATGCAAAATATGGGAGGCATGAGAGAGAATAAGCAAGGAGGAGTATGGCCCTGTGGCATGTACATGAGGGCTCTCCTGAGGACTCCAAGGTCTAGATCTTCCTCCTTCCTTCCTATTTTTTATGTAGGAACCTTATCTTTGACCTCCAATACATGAGTCCCTGAAACAGAACCAGGATCCCAAGACTTCATCACCCACAGAATATCCAGCAAACAGCAAGATACAGAGTTGAGTTTGGGTTGGACGTAAGGTGGTTCATTCACACTGGTGACAATGCTTCTGTGTTCAATCCGATGTGTACAATTTTCTCCTCCTCTCTTTATAAATACGCACACCACTATGGAAATAAAATATGAAAGTTATTTTAATTATAGCAAGCACACAGCAGCCCACCCACAATGATTTTTTGTTTTCTATTATAGGAAAACAGAAGCTTAAGGAGGTTTGGAAAGGTGAGAATACATTTGTTTTGCAGCATTTCAGAGTGCTCCTCCCTATTCTCTGAGATTTATGACTCTAGCCCTGCATTTTGTCTGTTAATAGACTCAGCTGTAATTATTAAAGTTTTTGAAATATGTGTTGGAGGAAAATACTTTCAGAACCGCTAAACTTTTCCATTCATTTAAAAAAACTCTTATCTGTTCTTTGATCCCTTTGCTTGCCTTGCTGAGTCACTTTGCAGGCAACCCAGGGGGTGGGAAGCTTGTAAAATTTTGAAAATTAAACAAAGGGGTTAGAGATATTTCCATGAGTAAAACACACCCTCCAGAAGCAACACAGACATGGGTGTGGGTTGGTTTGAAATCCACTGCCACCTGCTTCTGAGGGAAAATGCAGAAAAAGAGACATTTGCTTATGATGAGGGCACCCATCCAAAACAGCCATGGTAGGGTTAGATGCCGTAAATTGATGTTAAATTGATGTTACGTTCGAATAGTTCAGAGAATTTTCAAAACGCAGATTAGAAGAAACTGGCAGTGGAAATAAAAGGTACGCCATATAACTGAACTCCCTCGCATACTGGATTTAGTTGTTAAAGGTTTCCAGAACCTCTACATCTTTTCCCCACCGCTCTTAAGCACTTTGCAAACTAAACTTCAAGACAATCCTGCAACTGCTACACCAATTCTAACCCTTGGCAATTCAGAGTAAAATGAGATGCTTTGAGTCACCCGGTGGCATACAAAGCGAAAAACTCGGAGCCAGTTTGTTTCTTGAAAGAATTTCAAAAAATGGGAAATGAATATAACTTGAAATCGAATATTCATCCTGAAGGGTAGGAGAGGCAGCGCCCTCCGTATGGCAGCACAGGTCTCTCCAGCCATCCGCTGCACAGTAGAAAGCCAACTTCAGTTTTTTGGAATCAAACTACTTCTTCAAAAGTTTTTTAGAAGTGTTTTAAAGGTGAGCATGTGTACTAAACGAGGCGTTTGCTGCCTGGCTAGGCTGCTGGGCTGGTGCACCAGCGGGGATATTCACACTAGCCCAGTATATGTGGTCACCAAATGCTCAAAAGGTGGGTGAACCTCTTGTCACACAAAGGTCTTCTTCCGATACCCCAGCTATCTACGTCCTTGAGTAAAGAGCCACTTTACGTAGAGCTGGTGTAGGGCTGAAGTAAACCCAAGACATTGCATCTGTCTTGGTCGACCAACTGTTCATCCCCTCAAAGATGATGCAGGTAAATCTTCAGTAATCTGCAGCATCCTCTGGTGCAAAGCTATGGAAAGACAAGGTGCAAAGGAACCCTTTACACCCGAAAATGTGCACTTATCCCTTACCTTACGTACATTAATGTACATATCTTATGTGCATTAACGCCTAAACGAGGGTGCGACCCCCTCACACTACAATTGTCACACAGACTTTGCATACGATGGAAAGATGAACCACAAAGGCTTTTCTCTTCACAAAAAAAGTTTATTTTGACTACGTTGCTTTAGCAGTAAGGAAACCTCGATCGAGCAAGATACGGCTGAAAGGTGTTTGATAGATTACTGCAGAGCAGACAAAAAAGGAAAAGACTGTTGCGTGTTTCATATTCAGACAATGAAGCTTTCATTCGCTGCCTAGTTCACAGATGTGGTATTGTCAAATTGCAGGAAAATGCGTGGCAGACTGTATCATTGACTATATTTAGGGAGAAAATTCAGAACATGCTATTTATAGAAGCCACACAAATAAGCACAGAGTTCTTATCAGCCAAAGATAACATTAGTCGTGATTTATCAAAGTAATCTTTATTTTATGGAAAACGGATAATAGGGTGTAATTTAATCCTTTGTGAACGTAATGTATATTTCAAAGGGTTCTTTTTTGTTAATAAAACCATTTGTTGTACTTGTTAAACTAATTAGTCTTGTTGCTGTTGCTTATGACAGGATAAAAGATGCCCGTTAATGAAAACGGGGAGGAGAAGACAGGTTCGAAAGTTTGTGAAGTTCGTACTCCTTGCAAGCCAGTTTTCTGATCAAAACAGGTTTTGCCTCTTTCGCTGCGAGCCTGCGTTAACTGAGTTTGTGCAGATGATACATTTTCCTTTTTTAATTCCAAAATGGATTACCCCAAAAATTCATCTCATCTCTGGGTGTGTCACCTGCTACAGGCATCAGGGGCTTCTCGGACTTCCCTGGGTACTGGCGCTGGCGTGAGCCACCGTGCCTGCCGGCCCTGCCGCTGAGCGCCGACAGGGAGGGTGACGTTCCTGGCCGCTTCCCCCTACTCTTTGCATTTTTTCCACCATGTGCAAACACATTCCAGGAGTCACGGAGAAGGCGAAAAGGGAAGAAAACAGAGCTGCCTGGGTGCATCCTCCACTGGTCGGTCCCTGGCCGGCCACGTGCCTTTTGCTGGGCGAGGGCGGGTTTTGCAGGGGCGGGGCGTGGGGCTGAAGCTGTGCCGAGTCTTGGCTCTGTGAGAGGCCCCGGCAGCGGTGCCAGACTGCAGAGGCAGGACATGAGCTCATTCTCTGGATCTGCAGTTGACCTTGAAAGATCAGAGTCAGAAATGGGAAGGAGTCAGAAGAGGACACATATTTTATTATCATCTTTTTTTTTTTCGTAGTGTTTTTGGTGTCCTTGTTTGTAGCCTAGCAGCCTCATGAACTTTTAATAGGAATTTATGAATGATTTTCAGAAGATTACTCTTAAAAGACTGGCTAAGCTCTTAAAAGTCCTTCTCCCTTAGAAATGGCCCAGCAAATGCCCCTCAGAAGGACCAAGTTACGGAGAAATCCTTAAAGAAATGTCCCTACTGTCTGTGTCAGTTCTGCGTTGTCATCCCGGTTCCTTGGTTCTCTTTGTACCGTCTGTTGTACAAACTGTCCAAATACAACATTTCTAATCCTGAATTACTGCATCCAGAAGTTTCACAGGTCCTCAAATCTCCTGGACACAGAGGTGAGAAGCCTTGGTCACACTTCCAGCTTGCGTGGCCCCACTGGAGAGATCATGGAGCAGATCTGCCTTCTCCAGCCCTTCCCCACCTTGCTCTGAGGACACCTGCCTACTTCTGCAGGAGAGACTTGTCCCTGTTCAAGAAGGATGGTGCTTCCACTGCCTCTGTTACCACTGTCCCGAGCCCTGTGGGCTCACAGCTTGGGGTAGGGCTGTCCTGCTCCTTCTTGGATGAAAAGAAAGAACAGGCAAATTAGCAGACAAGCTACTTGGTTTGTGTAGATGAAATATAGCCTTCACTTCAGCAAATGCCAAGTCAGAAATTTGAATGGCATGTCCAACCATTCTGCCTTTGGGTCAGGTGGCCCTGCTGCTCCATACCTAAATACTATAGGAAAGACAAACGTATCCCTGTGAGGAGCCATCCCCACCTGTGGCTCGGAGAGAAACCTGTGCCTCAGGTCTGGTGCTCCAGACAACAGCAGCAGAACGGACTGTGTGTCTGCTTACGGCAGCCCTGCTAACGCTGTGAGGAGGAGCCGATGGGCCCCAGGGACTTCCAGGACAGCGACCCAAGCACATTCCAGGAGAAGATCAGCTTGCCAGCACTTTGACTTGGAAAGGGCTCCAAATCCGAGTATGTCGTAGCAACGTTGTCCTCTCTTCGGTTTCAGTAACAACTTATACTTGAACACACTCTTGCACTGTTTGGTTTGTTTACAAAATAAACCGATTCCTTTGGATCCCCTTCCCCAGACTCTCTTGGCAGCACACAGGGATATCACAGCAGTGATGAAAATGTGCCTGCTATCCACTTAAATGGGATCAATTTAGAGAGTCCTTTGGTTTTTATTTTTTATATCCAGAACAACAAAAGGACTAAAAACTGTTTCACA